GCTAGGGAAAGTAGTGATGAAGATCATCCTGTGGTTGATGAATTGATTGATGACGAATTTGAAAAGGGGGCTGGCCCGAGGAAGTTTTCGTATAGCGAATTGTCTCGGGCCACGAGTAATTTTGAGGAGGGAGAAAAGCTTGGGGAGGGAGGATTCGGTGGGGTTTATAAAGGTTTTATACCAGACTTGAACTCATATGTTGCTGTTAAGAGAATCTCGAGTAGTTCTAAACAAGGACCGAAGGCGTATGCATCGGAAGTAAAGATCATCAGTCGACTTAGGCATCGCAATCTTGTGCAACTGATTGGCTGGTGCCACGAAAGAAAATTCTTACTTGTGTACGAGTTCATGCCAAATGGGAGCTTAGATTCTCATTTGTTTAAAGAACAAAGCTTGTTAACTTGGGAGGCAAGATACAAAATTGCTCAAGGTTTGGCCTCTGGGTTGTTCTATCTACATGAAGAGTGGGAGCAATGTGTGCTGCATAGGGATATTAAATCAAGCAATGTTATGTTAGATTCAAATTTCAACGCAAAACTTGGGGATTTTGGGTTAGCTAGACTTGTGGACCACGGAAAACAGTCGCAAACCACAGTCTTGGCTGGAACCATGGGTTACATGGCTCCGGATTATCTCAACACCGGAAAGGCTAGCAAAGAATCAGATGTCTACAGCTTCGGAGTTGTCGCTTTGGAAATAGCATGCGGGAGAAAACCCATCGATCCAAAGTTTGGAAGTATTCAAAGCAATATGGTTGAGTGGGTTTGGGAGCTTTACGGAGAAGATAGAGTCATTCAAGCTGCTGACCCAAAACTATGTGGGGATTTTGATAAGAAACAAATGGAGTGCTTGATGATTGTTGGGTTGTGGTGTGCTCATCCAGACTACAACATGAGGCCTTCAATACAACAAGCAATTCAAGTGCTTAACTTCGAGGTACCGTTGCCGAATCTCCCATCAAAGATGCCGGTGGCCACCTATTTTGCTCCTCCGAAATCGCTCTCAATGTTGTTTAGAGATATTAGTGGTTCTCAAGGAGGCCAAACTGAGTTGTCCTCAGGCCAAACTAACTCCTCACAGTTCAGCGCACCTTCTTCTACCACAAATTCTCATCCAAAAATTTCACTTGGGTAAGAAAGAAGCCTAACTAAATAATTTTGATTCTAAACTTTTAGAATTTTTGTAATTCCATGTTGTCCTGTACAAGATTATGCATCTCACTCTTTGTTTTGATAATATACAAATTCAATGTAATGTTGTATCAATTTAGTTACACACTAAGAAATGATATATATATCTATACACGTTTATATTTTAAAACCATCATACAAACCAGTCCTACCCTGTATGTCTTTCCTAAAGACCGGAAGCGCTGAAAAACCTCACCCACTCAACTTTCTTCACATTTGATTCACATCTATTGGTATGATGTGTACAATCATCATCGTATCTTTATGAACGAACGCGTTAAGCAAAATCGTCACGAATTTTTATGACATCAATAATTCTCGCTTAAGGATTTGACATGTCTCTCTTGCTCTGTTTGCCCGTGACTTACCAGGAGACGAGACATTAGGTCCCACATTTCATTTTCACAAATCCCACTCATCCAACTGCCAATTACATTTCGTCTTAAAAAAGAAAAAAAATCAATTACAAAAAAAATCAATAAACACAAAACGTGTGGGCTTCACTAGTTAATCACTTCGAATTTAGGTTTTTAGTATCAAATTTTTTGTTACAAACCTAAAATCAAATTCAAAAGGACCATTATATATACCCTAATAATCAACAATATCAATAAATAGGATCAAAGTTGAAGACAATTGAGTAGACGTGATATATTCACAATGCATCATGTTAGACGCCAAACATAGAAAAGTCGCACAGTCCGCACATTAGTTTTTACCTTTTAGATTTCTTCCTCTGTGAGGCTCTGTGAAGTTGCACAATCCGCACATCGTTGGCATTGAATATTTTGTTAGTCATATATAGCTACAAACTTGTAGTATTGATGGGTCTAATCCCATTTATTTTTATTTTTTATTTAGTATAAGTGATAGTCTAAAAACTACAAGATAGGGGGATTTCTCACACACACACAACTATAATGCCTTGAAGATTCGAATTTGAAACCTCTAGTCTACAAGTTGATGCCTTTCCACTGAGCTAGACCTCTAATCCAATTTTCTTAGTTGATATTCTTTGTGTTTGACCAGATCATATTTTGGAATTTTTGTGTGAGGAAAGACATCTTGATATGAACATATGACAATGCCAACTGGATCTACCGAGTGAAAAAGTGCCTTGACTTATAGACCGGAGGTCTCACATTTGAATCCCCACGACATCATAATTGTGTATATGTGTGAGAAATCCCTCCTCCCCTTGTGTGTATGTGTGAGAAATCCCCCCTCCCCTCTTGTTTAGACTATCGCTTATACTAAAGAAAAAAAAAAAGAATAGATGACAATAGATTTAAGACCAAAAAGAAAAAAAATGATGAGTTGCTACTTTACATGCACTACTATTATTAGGCAAACCTAGTACATTTCTTAAATTAAGTGTTTCATTTCATGTGCACTATCACTTTTCTTGTTTCATTTCTTGTGATTGTGTTTAAATTAAGTGTTCTTAATATATTCAAACTGGATTTGCTTATAAACTATCAAGTTCTCGTGAGAACGACCTCGTATTTACAAATCTATACTCTAATAGATTTGTACACTTGCGAGTATTTTTAATTGGACAGTTAGCGTATTAATTTACGCCCGTTATCAATGCAACATTGCTACTTTACATGCACTACTATTATTAGGCAAACCTAGCACATTTTTTAACTAGTATCCTATGAATTGTAAAGAAACTTGTAGCTTAAATAATTAAAAGTTTTAAAAACGCTTCTTGAGAACTGAAAACGTTTGGTAGAAAATCTTATCAGTATTTTTAGGTCATGGAATTTGATATCTATAAGGATATAAAGAGTCATACATTAGGGACCCAACTTTCCAACATGTGGTATTGACATCAACTCTCTCAATAGTCTATTACCAATAGTACATGGGATGGTGGTATTATGAATGGACAAGAAAATGGTGCTACCATTAGTTATAATTCTACCTCACAAACTCTTCTGGTTGCCTTCACTACCATTTTAAATGGTACCCAAGTGAGTAGTTATCTAAATCAGAGAGTTGATTTGAGCTACTTGCCGGATAGGGCCATTGTAGGGTTCTCTGCTGCCACGGGTGCTAAATTTGCTGTGCATATGATCACTTCTTGGAATTTTAACTCTTCTCTTGATGATGACAATGGAACGAGCGGAGTGAACTCGGTAGTTCCTCTACCAAGCACTAGTTCTCAACAAGGGCAACCAGCGGTTGCATTGGGTGTTGGTGGATGCATTGCCTTGGTTGGAGCTTTATGCTTTGTTTGCTTCATCTTGGGGTGGAACAAGCTGAAAACAGCAGGAGAAAGTGAGGAAGATCCCTGCTGAATGATTGCATTGACGAATTCGAAAAGCGAACATGCCCAGGAAGTTTTCCTACACGGAGTTGGCTCATGCAACGAGAAATTTTGAGGAGGGAGAAAAGCTCGGAGAGGGAGGGTTTGTTGCGGTTTATAGAGGCTTCTTAAAAAGCTTGAACTCATATGTCGCTATCAAGAGAATGTCTAAGGGGTCTAAACAAGGACGAAAGGAGTATGCGTCTGAAGTAAGAATCATCATTCGTCTTAGGCATCGGAATCTAGTGCAACTCATTGGTTGGTGCCATGAGAAAAGAGAACTCCTACTTGTTTACGAGTTCATGCCCAACTGCAGTTTAGATTTTCATCTATTAAAAGCAAAAAACTTGTTAACTTGGGAGGTAAGGAACAAAATTGTTCAAGGTTTAGCCTCCGGCTTGTTATATCTACACGAAGACTGGGAACAATATGTACTCCACAGAGATATCAAATCTAGCAACATTATGTTGGATTCAAATTTCAACCCAAAACTTGGAGATTTCGGATTAGCTCGACTTGTGGACCATGGAAAACAACCAGAAACGACGAGGAATGTGGCTGGAACAAGGGGTTACATGGCTCTTGAATATGTTGCTACAGGACAAGCTAGCAAGGAATCAGATGTCTACAGCTTCGGAGTTGTTGCTTTGGAAATAGCCTGCGGAAGGAAACCTGTTGATATCAAGTTGACAAGTAATCAAGTCAGTATGGTGGACTGGATTTGGGAGCTTTATGCAGAAGCGAAAGTCCTTGAAGCAGCCGACCCAAAACTATGTGGAGATTTTGATGAGAAGCAAATGGAGTGTTTATTGTTTGTTGGGTTGTGGTGTGCTCACAAAAATTATAACAACATAGTATAACAACCTTAATTTATCTCCCTAATAATCACATAATCTCCCCATACGCCGGAATATCCAACGACACGTATCTGTCAACATGCCGGAAAATCCTGCGCCACATGTGACCTATTATCTCATATTACATAATCTCCCCATACGTTGGAAAATCCAACGCTACGTATGAGGTCTGTCCTCACGCCGGAAAATCCTACGCCACGTGGGACCTAACAATCACATAATCTTCCCATACGCCGGAACATTCAACGCCACTTATGAGGTCTGTCAACACACCGGCAAAAACCTAAAACCTACGCCACGTGTGACCTATCATCTCATATTACATAATCTTCCCATACACCAAAAAATCCAACATCTTGGGAAATGTTCAATTTACAGGAGAGACTCTGCCAAAGACCGAGACTTTCTATCAAAATTTTGGTAGAGTCTTCCCTAGAAAGTGATGGAAGGAAGAAGAAGATGGGAAAAAAATAAAAATAAAAATATAGGCGTTGGGAGAGATGAGATATGTTGAGAATAAAAATTACAAAAGAAAGAAAAAAAGGGGTTGATTTGGGCGCATCTTCAGATGCACATGCATGCTCTCACATTTTTTTATTATAATATTTATTATTTAGAGTAACTATTACTAATTATATAGAGGGAAGGGAAAAGATAGTGAGAAAGATTCCATCCATATATTTTTATTAAATTATTATTGTAAATATTTTATTATGGGAAAGATTATCCTCTTATATTTTATTACATTATTACTATTCATGCATCAGCTACAATAAAATTTATTATATTTAAATCATTAGACACAAATAATGGTGACTAATTTGGTTAAGAGCGTTGTTATAATACGTACATATAACATGTTATAACACAAAGAAACAGACCTGAATAAAAAACAAAGACACAGGAGACATTTATCCCCCTCCGTAATTTACTCCTCGTGTCTGTGTTTTCCATCACAACTTCCTCCCTCCTTCCTACTAGAAGCAAAAAGTTGAAAGCTTCATTGACTTGGAGTCAACCCACTTGTCAGGAAACTTCAAGTCTTGCCGGTATACTTCAATTCCAGCTCTACCTGCTCTGGCTTGCTCTATTTATGATGACAAGCAATAATGCAAGCTCCACTCTCTCTCTGAGTCTCATGCTCTCCCCCAAAATGGTTGTCACCTGCAACTCTTCCATCAGCATATTCACACTACAACCAACCAAGCTTCACTTCCTCCTCCTTCTTCTTCTCTTCTTTCTGTTAACCCCTCCTGCAACTCCATTAAACTTCAGTTTCTCCAGCTTCAACAGCAATGACGCCACCACTATATCCAGAGAAGGCGACGCTTATTTCGACACCGAATTCCTCCGCCTCACCAAAAGCGCTGCCGACGTCGCAATAAACGGCAGCGTAGGCCGAGCCACCTACAGCCAGCCCTTCCTCCTCCGCGAAAATGCCACCGGAAAACTCGCAGACTTCACCGCCTTTTTTAAGTTCGCCATCGACTCCAACAACAACACCAACTACGGCGACGGCCTCACCTTCTTCATCGCCCCAAATGGGTCCTCACTCGACCCAACAATAGCCGGCGGAAGCAGCCTCGGCCTCCCCGTCAACACCACGCCTTCGTCAAACGACGCCGTTCCGAGGAACCAGTACCCTTTTGTTGCCGTGGAGTTCGACATTTACCAGAATGTACAGCCAATCATCAACGACCCCAGGCACAATCACGTGGGCATCGACGTCAATTCACTCCACTCTGTTATTTACCAGAATTGGAGTGCAGGCATTTTGCAAGGGAAGGAAAATAACGCTACTGTTAGTTATAATTCAACCTCAAAAAACCTGAGTGTT